AAATGGCCTCTAAACTGAAGAGAACACCCACAGAGTGGGAGAAAATATTTGCCAACTACACATCAGACAAAGGACTGATAACCGGAATATACAGGGAACTTAAAAAACTAAATTCTCCCAAAACTAATGAACCAATAAAGAAATGGGCAAGGGAACTAAACAGAACTTTCTCAAAAGAAGAAATTCAAATGGCCAAAAAACACATGAAAAAATGCTCACCATCTCTAGCAATAAAGGAAATGCAAATTAAAACCACGCTAAGATTCCACCCTCACCCCTGTTAGAATAGCCATCATCAACAACACCACCAAGAACAGGTGTTGGTGAGGATGCGGGGAAAAAGGAACCCTCTTACACTGTTGGTGGGAATGTAAACTAGTACAACCACTCTGGAAAAAAATTTGGAGGCTACTTAAAAAGCTAAACATCGATCTACCATTTGATCCAGCAATACCACTCTTGGGGATATACCCAAAAGACTGTTACTCCAGAGGCACCTGCACATCCATGTTTATTGTGGCACTATTCACAATAGCCAAGGTATGGAAACAGCCCAAGATGCCCCAGCACTGACGAATGGATTAAGAAAATGTGGTATCTATACACAATGGAATTTTATGCAGCCATGAAGAAGAACGAAATGTTATCATTCGCTGGTAAATGGATGGAATTGGAGGACATCATTCTGAGTGAGGTTAGCCTGGCTCAAAAAACCAAAAATCGTATGTTCTCCCTCATATGTGGACATTAGATCAAGGGCAAACACAACAAGGGGATTGGACTATGAGCACATGATAAAAGCGAGAGCACACAAGGGAGGGGTGAGGATAGGTAAGACACCTAAAAAACTAGCTAGCATTTATTGCCCTTAATGCAGAGAAACTAAAGCAGATACCTTAAAGCAACTGAGGCCAATAGGAAAAGGGGAACAGGTACTAGAGAAAAGGTTAGATCAAAAAGAATTAACCTAGAAGGTAACACCCACGCACAGGAAATCAATGTGAGTCAGTGCCCTGTATAAGCTATCCTTATCTCAAGCAGCAAAAACCCTTGTTCCTTCCTATTATTGCTTATACTCTCTCTACAACAAAATTAGAAATAAGGGCAAAATAGTTTCTGCTGGGTATTGAGGCGGGGGAGGGAGGGGGCGGAGTGGGTGGTAAGGGAGGTGGTGGGGGCAGGGGGGAGAAATGACCCAAGCCTTGTATGCACATATGAATAATAAAAGAAAAATGAAAAAAAAAAGGTGTACATGGCACCCCAGGGTGACAGAGATCCCATCTATGATGGGCAGGCAACTCTCCATCTCTATGTTGTATGGGTGCCTGGATACTTGTAAGTAGTTGTTGCTGAAGAGACTGGCTTCAGGAAAGTGCTCTATTCCTGTGCTGCCAGTGCAGACCCCTCCTGGAGAAGCTTCCTTTACATTTTCAGATGAACATACTATCTGGCTTCAACATCTGTCTTCCATGACTGCCAGTGTTGGTTTGGCAGCCGGGTTGACTGGCTATCCTTGCTCTCCTTTGTCCTTCCCTTCCAAAACTGCACAGTCTGATAAAAGGAAGATTGCCTAGGTAGATGGTGGCTTTGGTGTGTCACTAGCTGGACCCTCTCTGCCCAGCCCTACAGATAAGAGGATTTATTCACCCTGAAATATGATGGTTGTACCCACTGTGTGCTGAATATACTAGTGAGCTTGAAAACCTTTGTTGAAGTAGCCAGTGTGCATCTGTGATGGGAGATATTTCTCTGCACAGATTTGTAGCTAAGAGAGGTGATGGGTCAGATCATAAGGTTGGATGGTAAAGCTTGCACAGGAAGACTGAGGTAATGTTTTAGGGAGGGAACAATGAGCTGTAGGGGACAGAAAGGGGCATAGAGCCATAAACATTCAGCCTTCCTACCTGTCATCTAGAGACATTCCCTGAACTTCTGGCATAGGCAAGGTTCTGAATAACTATCAGGAGAGGGGAAATCTCCATTTCAAATGTGGGGATGAAACAGGAGAGCAGAGTTCCCTGGCAGTTCTGCATTCATTTCATACTTGTGGAAACTGTAGTAATTTAGAATAGTTCAGTATTTAGACTCAACTGTGTAATTCATCCTGATGTTTCCCATTCATCAATGCCTTGTATTTGTTTGTATTACCATGAGAAAAAAAATTATAAAAGTGGAAAAAAAGATTCCCCCCTCCTTTCATTACAGGCAAATCACAACAGAGTTACAACCCTTGGGGCCCTTCAAGCAAAGGAACATCTTGCTTCAATTAGGTATAAATAATGAACAATAATTAGGAAGATTTCTTCATCAAATTTGTTACTTTATGTTTCCTTTCTTCTGCAATGTATTGAAATGCATTCTGACTTCTGTTTCTAGGCCACATAGCAGGGACGGAATTGTCTCCACAGCAATACAAAGCAGCCACTCACAGCTGGCCCTTCTGTGTGCTTGCTGTGTGGACTGCCACCAGTCCTGAATCCAGAGCCGCTAATGTGATGAGAGGGCTGCTTTAGAGCCAGGCTTTCAAATTCTTACTCTCCTGGAGACCCAGAGTTATCATGCCAGTTCAGAATCATTGTCTCCAGTTTCCAAGCACAGGCTGCATTGGGCACTGCTCTAAAGAGCTGAGCCACGCTCATCCTCACAGTAACCCTCTGTTTCCAGCTCTGCTTCTATCCCTACTTTTTAAATTTGGAAACTGAGGTACAGAGACATTAGTTACTTGCCCAGGCCTGCAGTATTAGTGATAGTGGAGCTGAGAGACAAGGCAGGTAGTTGAACTCCCGAGCACTGCCTGTCCTCACTCTGGCATACTGCCTGCTAAATCCCAGTGAGATTCTGCCTTGGAAGCCTATAAGGTGTGGAAATGGCACAGGAGACCAGGGCTGGGGATGGCTTCTCACAAGGACAGGCAGAAGCTGGATTTTTCAGGGGGTTGTGGAGGTGTACAGGTGCATAACTGAGGTGGTGGTATTCCAGACAGAGGGAGTGTCATGGCCTGTGCTATAGATGGGAAATGGGTGGCATTTCTCATTTTAAGACTAGTGATGGGGCCATGTGTGGGTGGGGACAACTACCAAATGAGACCTGAAGATGGAGGGTGTATAGATGACATTGGGAAGATTGGCTTTTCCCATGGGAACAGTAACTTGGAAGAGGTATGGGTAATGGAGGAGACACACAATTTTCAGAGAAATAAAGAGTGATCAGGTTGCAGCCTGTACAGGAAGCCTGGATCCCCACTGGGATTATTTATTTGTGCAAATCTGAAGGTCAGATTCTCATGACACACCATGCTGGTACAGCTCCTTCAGAGCTAAGTTAGAACTTTGTACCTACTGGTCCTTCCTCCCCTACTATAGTCAGTCCCTGACTTAATGAAGATTTAACTTAGGACTTTTTGACTTTATTGTTATTTTATTTTGGTGGTACTGGGGTTTGAACTCAGATTCTCCAGCTTATTAGGCATTCACTGTACCACTTGAGTCATGTCCCCAGCACTTTTTAGCTTCAATTATTTGTTTTCCAGACAGGTCTCATGTTTTTGCCCAGGCTCAGCTTGGACAGCAATCCCCCTACCTATGCCTCTGAGTAGCTGAGATTAGTAGGTATGAACCACACCCAGAATATTGATTGAGATGGGGTCTCACTAACTTTTTGCTTGGGCCGACCTCAAACCCCAATCCTCCCAATTTCTGCCTCCCAAGTAGCTAAGATTATAGGTGTGAGCCACCACACCTGACCTGACATTTTAATGGTATGAAAGCAATAAGCAGTGAGTGGAAACTGTACTTCAAATTCTGAACTTGGACCTTTTCCAGTGAGGAGATATATGGTCTGATCCCCTTGTATAAAGCTGGGTGTCAGCAGCCACCACAGTTCCCTGTGAGCCAGGTGATCACCAGCAAGAACAACTGACACTCTCCAGTGTGCTGTGCAGCCACTGATTTTTTTTGGCTACAAATATTTAATAAATGAAATGACATATTCAACACTCTATAACGTAGGTTTTGTGTTAGATGATTATGCCCTACTATCAGCTGATGGGAATATTCTTTGTGTTGAAGATAGGCTAGGCTGAGCTAGGATGTTTGGCAGGAAAAGTGGGTTAAACACACTTCAACCTGAGATGAGTTTATTGGGACATCATAAGTAGAGGACCATCTGCATTTTTCCTTCTGAAGAAACTCTCCTCTGTCCCCAGCTCAGACATCTGTCCTTGGGTTGCTGATGGTCTTCCTGATGCATTCTGTCCCTCTAACATGCACCCAGCTGGAGCTACTTGCTTCTCCTCCATGTATAACAAACCTGAGGACCTCAAAAGTGTTATGTTTATCTTAACCATCTCCTAAATTATTGTCAACATTTGAAAACAAGGAGCTCTCATATTTTTTCCAAAAACAAATTGGTTGAGCGTTGGTGCTCAAAGTCAGTTACTAGCTGGAATGCAAGCACATCTGAAAGCTTTGAGGAGATGCCTCTTAATTGACCAAGGCTCCAAATGTGTGCCTGCTCCATGCTAGTGCTGAGTGTGAGGGACCAGTCACTATCACTGCCATCATCATTGTCATCGTCCATCTTGTGGATAGGTTCTTTCTTTCCCAGCCTCTGTGGATGTTCAGGTCTGAGATCTTCAGTAATTAATGTCTTGTATTGTCCCAACTCTGTTAAGATTGTGATTCTTTCTCTAGATGTCTCTTTCTAAGTTGAGTCTCTAAACTCCCTGAAGCCAAAGAATCCTGTTTCATTTATTCTCCTATCCCTCCAACTCAACACAGAACCTGCTTCTAAGTGCTTGGTGATTTTATTGAGGAAGCTTAACTGTGATAGATGAAGGCCTGACAAACCCTGCTCTGGGTTCTGGGACTCGTGCTCTTGGGCACTGTTGGAAGAATGTGAATGGTGAATATTAGAGTTTGGGAGAGGCTTGTAGTGCATTTTACTCTTGCAATTTGTGGTGTGCAGTTTGTACCACACTTTGCTACTTTTTTGCATTTCAGGACATTCCAGGACCTGTCCAAACAAGTGGAAATGTCTTACGGTACTGTCCGGGATTCTGCTGTCTACGAGTACTTCCGAGCCAAGGGCACCAACCCCCTGGAGCAGGACAGCACATTTGCTGAGCTCTGGCGGACCATCAGCAAGAATGGAGGGGCTGACAACTGTGTGTCCAACCCTTCAGAAGGCATCCGGAAGGTAGGTAGGAGTTGATGCCTGGGCACATGTGCTGGGATGGGGGCCATGAACAGAGTCATGAAACTCTATCAGAGACACCTGCCCAGAGGCATCTGCCTTTGCGTAGCGCTGCTACCTGCAGAGCAATCCACCTTCAATTCCTTAGGTTAATGCCCTTTCTTGGCTGCAGAAGCTAAGGGGCTGTGCATTAGGTACCTTCTGAGTATCCAGAGGGATGCAGACAGATGGAGATGAAGCTATGGATCTTTATCCAGTGGGCAGAGGGGTCTGCCCACTGCAGGTGAGAACACTCGGCAAAAGCTGAAGCTACCAAGCAAGGGACCTAGGGAGTGAGAGAGGAGGTTCAGAAGGGGTGTTCACATGGCGTGTCAGCCAGGGGCCTGGATGGGGAACACCACACACAGGACAGGCTACCCACGTGGGCTGGACACACCTGTGGGACTCAGCTGTAGAGAAGAGGTATGCTTTGGGAATGGCAGTAGGGACAGCAAACCTAGGGTGGAGTCTGTACTAGGAAAAACCTCAGGAGGACAAGAGGAAAGAAGCCAGAGACAGAACAGAGGAAGGGCAGAGCAACACCATCACTGTCTTCAGCAGTTGTTAAACTGCTCCTTTGTTTCACTCAGTTTCCCACAGTGACCCACACTGAGCATTATTATCCAATTCTACCGATGAGGATCCCAGGGGTCACACTCCTTGTGAGGTTCTGACTCCTTAGAGTCCAGGTTAAGGTTTTGGCAGTTATCTGCCGTGTGAAGCTGTATGGCCCTTGAAGGTCAATGAGGAGGAAAATGTTGGGATGAAAGCAAGTGTCAAAGGATGCTGTGGCTGGTGACATCCTTCTGCCCAAGGACCCCCACATGAGGTGGCTGCTATCCCTGAGCTCATTCATGAGGGGTGCAAGAAAGATGTGTGGTTGGGCCCAGCACTGACCAGCTTCATTGTCACTTCTCATCTTTCCCCTTTTCCAATTTCTCCACCATCACTGTTTGGAAACTTTCTCTCTCTCTCTCTCTCTCTCTCTCTCTCTCTCTCTCTCTCTTCTCATACACACACACACACACACACACACCCCTGTGCTACCCTCCTGGGCCACTTGGAGCTGCCTGACCTTCCTGCACAGAGCAGTGAGTATGAGGACAGTTGGGGAAAGTCCTGAGATTACTAGGACTCACTGCCATGCTGTTCATGAGGAGAGGGTGCCCAGCAGCCCACCAACCCCTCTCTCCCAGGACAGCTCCAGGGCATCCAGGAAGAGAGGCTTGGGATCACCTTGGGAAGCTCATGCCTGTCAGGGCAGATCATGACTTTAGTTCCGTGGCTACTGTGTGGGATGAGTACCTGCTAGGAATGAAGTCTCACCTAGCCATTTGCCGGGGAACTTTTCCTTGTTGTTTAGCCATGCTGAACAGCTGAGTGTATCTGTCTCAGGAGTCTATACATGTGGGTATGAATCCCAGTTCTACAGCTCGCCAACTGTGTGAATGGAACATGCCATCCTACCTGTTTGGAACTTCTCAGAGTCGAGAGGCCTGGGTCTCTTTAGAGACTTAAAATATCTAAAAACACTCATGGTAGATTTTGAATGTTTACATTTAACCAAAATAATAGAACACAATGCAATTGTGCTATGTGCAATGTAACTATGCTTACATGATTTATTACACCCTCTTAATCTCTACTGCACTGCAAAGGATGGCACTCTAGCCTTCAGCTATGGGGTCTTCTTTCATCCCTGTTAGTGAAGCTGTGTGGTTTCAGGTAACCTCATTTGGAGATAGTGAACACAAAGTTGACCTAAGGCCTTTTGTGAGTGTGAGGCTTGGGCCAAATGGCCTTGGAGTTTCCTCTTCCAGCCTTCTTTGTCTCTCAGAGAATGCCGATGCTGTATTTGCAAGGGATCTTACAAAGATTCATTGCAACATGCTACACAAAGCATTTCTTATGAAAGAAAAGGTAGCTACTTTATCACAAGACACCATAAAGAGGGGATAGTTACAACACATATAAGCAACAGCCAGTTAATATCAAGAATATATCATGAACTTTTATAAGTCAATAAGAAAAGCTCAAACAATTTAATAGAAAAATGGGCAAAAAACTTGCACAGGCTTTTCACAGAAGAGGTAACACATATGGTCAATAATCATAGGAAGAGATGCTCAAAGTCATTAGTGATCTGTGAAATGCAAATCAAGACCATAAAGATATATCATTTTATACCAATTAAACTGGCATAAAGTGAGAGGTGGTGGAGAGGATGTGGAGGAACAGGTGCTTAATTACTGGTGGGAGTGAACTCAGTACAACTGCTTTGGAAAAGAGTTTATCATTCTCTTATAAAATGGAACATCACATACCCTACAGCCCAGCAGTTCCACTCCTGTGTATTCACCCAAAATAAGTGTCCTCATGTACTTCTGGAGATAAGAAAGTCCACAGTAACACTGCTTGTAGAGCCAAAACCCTGGAAAGCGGGGTAAGAAAGAAGGTATCTGCAATGAAGTGAATGGACTATAGCTTCATTGAATAGCGTGGATGAATCTTAGCAGAAAAATATTGAACAAGAAAGCAATATAGACAATTTCAGATGAATCAGCTAATAGAAAATAATATTTAAAAATGTATAAGGTACCCTCATATACATATCAAAAGTAATGATAAAATATAAAATTCATCATAGTGGTTGCTGCAGATGGGAGGCACAGAACCTCAGGAAGAAGAGAAGCATATTGTTGGGTGTAAGTCAGAGTCAATGTTAGGTTTACATTGTTCATTATAATAAATAAGAAATTTATTTGATTGTAAAAGAGAGCTATGCCTGAACAAATGGACAGATGTTTTAAAGCAAGGATTTTGATTAAAACCATTCTATCTACCTATTCTTCCAAATAAATAAATCTAGACCAAGTCAGGCAGTTTGCCTCCCATTTATGCTAACCCCTTCCTTTTTTACAAGATCTGTGTGCCCGCCCTCCTGTGCCTGAGGAAGGTCAATGTATACTATAAAAGCCCTCTGAAAGGTGGTAATTTGAAGATGGGGCATCCTGGAAATGTCTCCTTAGCATCCTCATCACTCCTAGGTGCCACTCATTGGTGGCATATCAGAAACTGTTCACTGGTGATGTTTAGGCTCTTTATTCATGAATAAAACTATAAGAAGAAGAATGCAAATAAAAGATTCCATAGCAATGCATGCTGTTTCATGGTACAGAAGCTAATCTTTTACTTTTATGACATCACCATTTTATAAATCCCAAACTAGATTTGGGGTCACAAATATCTCTCTTGTATTTGAGACACCAAGAAAAAAATGACTATCAGTGCTAGAAAATGTTAAGAGTTTTATAACTAGTGTCATAAAAGTGAGTTTATAGTATTGTCAGAAAATGAAGTGCACTACATTTTTTATTGGAAAATGAGCTCAGATTCACTCTCAAATCCTCTTTCTTCATGTGTCTCAGTAGCTGCAGGATTGAAATGCTTCCTTTCCTCTGCCCCTGTGGAGCTGGCATTCCCTGAACCCCTAGGCAACAGGTTCAGTAACCTTGAGGGTCCCTGGGTTCACAGCAGACCAGGCTGGAGATGGCCATTCTCCAACTGAGGACCATGCCTTAGATCCAGAAACCATAAGAAAAATCTAGCTAGTAGGAAATATGGACTGGAGCCTAATATCCAGGTAGGAGCAGCCTTTCCAAATCCCAAACACAGCCTGCTTCTGCTCAGTGCAGGCAGCCTGGCAAATTAAGGGGATGGCCAGCAAGGGACTTCTGGAGACTTTTTTTAGCCACAGAAGGACAATCACACTTCTAATTTCCAGTTGCTCTTTGTTAACTCCAGCTCCATTTCCAGAGAGCACAAAGAAGTAGAGCAGTATTTAATTGCTACTAGAGTCAAGGAGCTTGATATCTGCATAACCTTGGAGAGTTGCTATTATTTTTTATTCAAGAGTACTGCAGCTTTTAATGACTTGAAACCAGTTTAGGTGGGATATTGCTTAGCAAGAGACAATCACTTTTCAATAGTAGCAGAACTGGAAAAAGGTGGTGTCATGGTTGCTCCACTCTGGAATCCACTTTTTCATGCCAGTGCTACTCAGACAAGGTGGAGCGTGGACCTTATGGGGCCCTGGTGAAAGCAGGAGGACCTGGGAAAATAAAGAGTTATTTATTAAGAGCCTCCAATATACGCTTTTACAACAAGCCTGCCTATTTCCCAGTATGTCTCAATAAATACTGCATTCTTCCTGAATGAGTCATCTGTTTGCTATCTTATGGAGCAGAGAGTAAATCAGAGACGTAGTTCCTGCCCTCAGTTAGCAGGTTACCTTCCTTAGAGTCTGTGATCCATCATAGACAAAGAAAGCAGGTCCAGGATTCTTCCCAGGCTTATGTCTTGATAACCTTCTCTTGGGGAGGAGATCCTTACTGGTCTAAAGAGACATGTCAAAGAAAGTGGGAGAGGGGCTTCCTTCGTTCCACTCAGCCACATGCATTTTATAAGACCCAAGAAAGAACTATACCAAGGCTTGGCAAAATATGACCCATGGTTCAAATCTGTTCACCCGTCTGTTTACATGTCAATTATTTCTGCTTTCCTGCTACTTCAACAGAGTTGAGTAGTGTGACAGAGACCATATTGCCTTTACAGTGTGAAATATTTATTATGTATCATTTTGTAAAAAAAAATTATGACTCCTGGTCTAGAGCACAGCTCTGTATCATCCAGAACCATAAGTACCTAATAGCTCGTTCTCTGTCTCTGCATCATTAAGTAGCTCATACAGGTACCTCTAGTAGCTCTTCCTCTGTATCTGTACCATCTGGTAGCACATGGTCTCTGTTCTTTCTCTTCCTTTCCAGGTTTGACTCTGGTGGCCTAGGAATTTCTCTCTCTATATATATTAGAACACAGCTTTTGACCTGGCCTGGTGTACTTCACCTGCTCTCGCCACCCTCAAATCTATGGGGCAGTCTGTGTGCACTACGCACTGTGCTACA